TCATACGCGGGGCTAAAGATCACCATTTTTTATTTTTCTGATATGAAAACTGTGCTTCTCTTAATGCTAAGATAAGAATTAAAATATTATGTACATAATATTAAAATATTAAATACATTATAAATATATGTATAAATAATGATCCTTAATACAATACTAGATAATATCAAATTATTTCCGTTATTTAACATTTCACCTCGAAAATTCTCGCAAAATTTATATAGTTGACGTGAAATTCTGGATGTTTTTGGAATTGAAATGATCGAAGTGACGAATACATCATCAATTCGCGGTAATATCAGTCGTCAGATTGAAACATTGGCAAGGCCCAAGCGCTGCTGCACTTTCGCCTATTCAGAGGGTGAACGCCCCAGTGAACGCTGACGAGATCAGCTGTGAGAGATCAACACCTCCATCATCGTCATTTTCCTTCGATACCCAGTTTTTTTTTTTACGCGGTTATGTGGCGTTACGGCTTTTTCGACACATTTACTTATTGTTAGTCACCATTATGCATATATCAATTTTTTATGAACGACTTATACATATAACAATATCGTGCATTTATTTCGAGTGTTTTTTAGATGCTTTATCAATCGCTGAGATTATGATTGGTCAAATTGTACATTAGATGAATTAGAAGTTATTAAATCAGTTATGTTACACTTCCTTAAACAATTAAAGTTTAATTATTCAGATGCATTATTATTTAGATGAATTTTTTTACGTTATTCAACTTTAACGACAGTGAAAAATTTCGGTCAGATTGCTTGATCTATCGTTCACAGAATCACGATTGCGTTCGCGATGCAGAGTAAGTTTGAGAGCGAAAGAGCTCGGCGGGATGACAAACAGGGAGGGCAAACGGGTGGGAAAAATCGGCGAAAAGAAGGTAGAGAGTAGAGAGGAAACCGGGACGAGTGAAAAGCGATCTCACAAATCAGCGAGAGACAGGATCGATCTCAACCCACCCACCGCCATCATTTCTTCTCTTATCCGCGACCTGTTTCTCCCTTCTTCATTTCCCCCGACGTGCTTTTTTACTACACATCGTGCGAGTAAAAGTGGGAAGCAGGGCAAAGAATATCTGGCATGAAAGAAGAGAGAAATTTGACCAGTATTCTCTCTCTGGTTCTCTGTCTCTTTCCTTTCGTTTGTTGTTTTCGACTGGATCTCGTTGGTTTCCCCCGATAGAAGGCTTTCTGCGAAAACACGCTCGATGGAGCGTACGCTAACCGGAAGTAACGCGGAGCTTGGTTCGCTATGAAAATTACATTTGTATCCCGCGGACGTTTTATCCCGTAGGCGACCGAGGCAAAAATCCAAGCCGAACTTTTGATAACGCGCTGACAGATTTCGGAGAGAGGGCTCGCCGTTGGACAGGACAGGAAGGAACGTGATCCAATCAGGTTTTTGACGTTTCCATTGACTTTACTGTACGCAAACTCGTACACAGGTAAACGTTGCTGCGCCGCGTTGCTGCTGCTATTTCATCGCAACGCACGGCGCGATGGCACTTTATCATATATAAATTACATGAAAAGCTGAAAACGAGTTTCCGCATTTTTAGTTCGCGACACAGAGATCAAGAGTTTTGAGTTACTCGATCGCGCGTAATTGTCGAGTTTTATCAACACAAGTATATAGTCGTTCTCAATGTTACCTCGCGTAATTTCTACTGAACGCTCATCTTTCCTGCGCTTTCTCAACGAAAAGAGACGTGCTCACCTCCCATTCGTCACATTAGTTTTTGAACTCGAGTCCGAAGGCGTGCATTTTTTTACTTGTCTTTATTACGGCCGCGAATCGGCTCGTATTTTTACAGTTGGCCTTCAGCCGTTCGCGGCTCGTATATCTGTAACGTAAACGTCGATAGCCGGAGCCGCGGCGTCGTCATAAATGTTTACAATCGACCTTCGATCGTATACCTCCACGGCTCGTTTACTTCGTGGCCGCTGTTCGGCACGTACGCGCGACAGCGTCGCGCGAAACGCTTCGAGGAAGAAACTCAGCCGATGTGTGTAGTGTGTAGTAACGGAGATAATCGTCGTTTTCGTCTCGATACAGACGACTCGGCGAGGACTCCGC